AGAGTATGATATGATATAATAATATATAATTAGAAGAAAAGAATAAAAAATTAATTTAAGAACAGAATTTAATGTGCTGTATATTTCTAATTTTATTTAAAATCAATTAATCTAATTTAAATAACAGAAGAACGCATTATATCTTATAAAAAATCATGTAATTAATTAAAAGATCAACGACATCGGTGATGTACATAATTTTTACTATTGTTATTAATAACAATATTGTTATAATTAGATTGCTCAAATGAAGAAAGAAATTTTTTTTTGTATATTTATACAATTGTTGCGCAAATTTAACTACCTTGATTTGAGAAAATTTTAAGTTTAAGACATAATTTAAGATGCAATAGCTGCTATTGGTTTAGAAATATTTTTTAAATACTCTATTTGTTTATATATTTGGAGAATTGGTTATAAATAATTTAATTAAATTGTATATAATGAATTATCCATCGATCAGATTATACAGGATATCTTCTGATGGTTGATAAAGCATTCAAATCTTTTTATGTTTAATTATAAACTAATTGTATTTATTTAAATTAAATATTCATTGATTAATTTATAATGTCTATTTAAGTTGCTCAAATAATTCTTATTGGTCATTGAAGGATAATTACGACACATAACCAAGTACTGTGCCTAAAGTTGCTGCTTTTGGTAAGACAATTTAGTGCAAATACAAATATGAAAACATCCCTGTTAATATTTAACAATCCATTCTATCAGTGATGCCTCCATGTCCTGGGATAGTATCACCAAAATCCTTGATTTTAATACCTCTCTTAAAACCAGATGCAAAGAAGCCACCAAATGGCGATACTAAACTTGTAAATAAACTAAACACCATAGCATGAATTTAGAAATCACTGAAATAAACAGAATCAATTCCAAATATTTAAAAAGGCAATTATCTTTAAGTGGATATAAAAACACTTGGGATATCACATGTTAATGAAGAAAAAGGAGAAAAGGGTAGTTAATGCTATGGGCAAGTCAAATATTGGCTCCCTTATAGAAAATATGCAAACTAAATTAGAATTATGAATTACACAAAAAGATGCAACTAATGTTGAAAAACATCCTCCAATAAAACCCTCCCATGTTTTCTTTGGCGATAGTTCAATTAATGGAGTCTTTCCAAATGACACTCCAAAAATATATGCAAATATGTCATTTGTTATTACTAAAGAACATGGTAATATAAACCAAACGATGCCTAAAATATCTAAGCTAATTTAATTACCTTCAAATATATTCATAATCATAACTGAACTTTATGCAACGACAAGGATTAAAGTAATGTGTGTCCATCCAAACATTCTAAATTGATATCTATAGTATCCTTTTTTAAGGGACAAAGTAAACATCAAAAATCCTGCCACCCATAACATAAAAGTAACAATATTATGATAATTCAAAATAAATTACAACATATTCATTTTAAATGTATATTCTGATAATTTCGATTGAAGCAATTTTCCATAACAAAAAAAAGTGGCTATTCCAAAAAAGTACCAATTAATTATTGGAGAATATTTGATATTCAGCTCTTTTTCATAGTTTCTTTTTAATCCTAAAATTTCCTTAAATATTCCAATATTAACAAGCAAAACTAATCCAATTATATAGATATGGCCTGCCCATAAAACAGCCATAAAGCCCAAAATCATAACAATTGTCCAAATAGTTCTTACAACAAAATTATTATTCTTGATAATTATAGGGACATTTCTTTCTAAATTAGGCAGTTTATTTTTATGAATGACTTTTTTTGGAGAGGGGCCTCTTCTTCTTACTTATGTATCAGACATCTCAGAAAAGTCATTATCGGTATTCGATTCCTCTGGTTGAGAATCAACTTTAGATTTCATTTTTGATTAAGAAAATATATTAATATTAATATCAGCAATCTTTGTTTAAACCTGTGTCAAATTTAAGCAATTCTTTTTAAATCTTGTTAATCTTTTTTGTGTTGTAAGTTGATTGTTATTATGTGGGTTATTGGAAGGGTATAGTAGCAAATGGAATCCAGAATGTC